TGAACTTCACAGCAGTAGGAATCACAATGCCACGCGTAGATCGCAAAAACCTTGAAACGAGCATGCACGGAAAATTATCGAATGCCAATGAGACGTTGCGGTTCGTGCCCGTTGAGGTTGTTCCCGGACCAATCATGAAAGCGCAAAGGTCCTGAAATTTCGTTGAAGTCACTTTGCAGTGTCATCGAGGCTGCGACGAGTTTGCAACGGACGCAACACAGTCGCAGGATCATGTGCTGCAGTCGCGCTACGCTTCGATGAAGATTGAAACACAAGCACCATCACATCGCAACGCACGTTCTGCCCTCACCTTCTTGCCTCCCCGCCCCGCTCTTTCCGCCGAAGCACCTGCCCCTGGCCCCTGTCTCGGCTGGCACCTGCTCCGCTGGCGTTACGTCGGGCCTGTCCCTCTACAGGCGGAACATTCAAGAATAGTGAAAAAATAGTCGGGGTACGATGTTTCGATTACTCGTGTCAAGTTTTGAATCTTTCGGGGGTGTTTTAAAGGTTTCTTCCAAAATCCGCCTGTAGGGGGACATGCCCAACCCAACGCTGACGGCGGCCTTCCGTGCCGCGGCCTCTGGGCCAGCAGTTGGGCTCCCCACGCATCCACTTCATCCCGAAGCTTCAGTCACAACCGCCCGCCAGGTCCCGGGTCACCCGCGGGGGTCCGAGACGGGATCCACTGTCAGTATCGTTTAGCCAATCCCCATCTCCATCCCCATCCCCTTCGAGACCCCCACAAAATTATCACCCCAGTTGGGGATACACCCCTCGAAACCCGAAGGGAGCGACCTATATCCCCATCTAGGGGGGTAAATCGGCCAGTGGGGCCCAGGCCGCGCCGCTGGGGATGGAGATCGGTTGAACGATACTCACGTTTCTCGAGCCCCTATCCCCGTTTCTGGCTCTTGCCCCACCCCCTCCCCTCCCTGCGGGCGCCGCACGCGGTGAGGCGCAGCACGATGCCCCACCACTTGAAGCAGGCCACCCCAGCGGAGCAAGGGGACGAGACGGAGGTCAGGGTCAACATCAGGGGGGCATGTGCTCACGGGGTGATGCATCGACCCTCAGTCGCCCATCGATCGCCGACATTGGCCCGATTGCCCACCCCATCCAGGAACGTGCGAATTTGTCATCGGGGGCCTATCGCCGATCTATCGGCGATGCATCGCCGACTCAAGTTCGACATCCCCCCAGAAGCTGGCCCCTCACCCCGACGTTGCCCCCAAGCGACGTGGGAGGGGTCGATGGAGAAAGCCGGGGCAGGTCGGTCGGACTCGGCACTGCAGCGGTCTGCGCACTGTCTTGCCGAGGGCTCCCCGCCCCGAGGTCCAAGGGGGGGCATTCCTGCTCTGACCTGGCGACGGGAGGCGCACCTGTTCTGCAATGCATCTGTCCTGTCCTGTTCTGTTCTTATGCACCCTCCACATGCTTCATGTTGTCTGAGAACCTGTTGGCTCGTTTGCACACGTATCAGCCCCATCAAGTGGGATAGCGCGTTGTGCAGTCCCGGGCACGACTCCCAAATGTCACGGAGTCGGGGCGATCAGTTCTCCAATTAGGCTTGTCCTATAGGAGTCATAGCTGATCATAAGTAATCGGTCTTGAGGACCCCCCCTTTTCCAATTGCCCCCCCCCTTTTTCAAATGGCACCCCCCCCTTTTTCCAATGGCACTTGCTTGCTTGCTCTTGCGTGCTTGCTCTCGTTTGCTTGCTCTTGCTTGCCCTTGCTTGCTTGCACTTGATCGTTGGCTCTTGCTTGCTTGTTATTGCTCGCTGGCGACTGTTTACCTCCGCTTGCTTGCTTGCGCTTGCTTGATTTTGCTCCTCCCGTCCTGCTCCCGTCCTCCTTCCGTCCTCCTCCCATCCTCCTCTCGTCCTCCTCCTGTCCTCCGATCTATTCGGAGTCAACGCTGGCTGATGTGTTTTTCTTGGAGGCCCAGCCCGGAGCCCCTGGCGGCCCGGCGCGCAGGAACGGGAGGGCGGCGGGGCCGCGGGGGAGGGGCCAGGAGGGGCGGGCCCGGGGGCCCTCGGAGCCCTTCGCGGGCCGTGCGGGGGGAGGCTGGAGCCCCACCCCTCGCCGTGCGGGGGGGGGGGCCGAAAGGCCCGGGATGCTCGGCAGTGGACGGCTCGGCCCCAGGGTCGACCTGCTCCGAGCGCCAGGGGGCCCCCCGCCTCGCACGCCAGGCGAGGCGCGGGTGGCCTTCGGGAAGCACCGGGGCCGCACCTTCGCGGAGGTGCTGCGGGGCGACCCGGCCTACTGCGACTGGGTGCTGCGCCTGGAGCGCCCGGGCCTCTGGCGGCCACGGCGGGGGTGCAGAGGTCGTGCTGGCACGCGCAGGCACGGCTCGTTCGCGCCTGGCCGCTCTGGTGCCGTTTTTTGGGGCCTGTCTTCCACCACCACCACCAGTTGTTGGGAGTGCAGAGAGAGGTGGAGGATCAGGAGGAGGAGGAGGAGGAGGAGGAGGAGGTGGAGGATTAGGAGGAGGAGGAGGAGGAGGAGGAGGACCCCCCCCCTCCACCTACTTCTAGTGGTGGCAGTGGGAAGCAGGCCTGCCATGTCGGGCCCTCGTTTTTTTTTTTCTCCGGGGCTCCACGCCGTGCCCGGGCTGCCTCCTGCCCTCCCCCCATCTCGCCACTCCCTGCCCCTTTCCTCTCTTCCCTGTCGCCCCTCCCTGCCTCTCCTGCCAGCCTCTCCTCCTCCCTGCCTCTCCTCCCTGCCTTCCTGCCAGCCTCTCCTCCCTGCTCTTCCTCTGCCCTCATCGACTCAGAACGGCCCAACCCTCGCTCGATCCGATCGGCACAGGAGGCCCAAGTGAGGCCCCATGCGACCACTCGGGTCACAGTGTCCCCGCTGGGTTGTGCCATGGGCCACTGTGGAGCCCAGAGTGGCCCCACATCCTACGCGTTTGGAATCGGACGTTGGTCGCTCTCGGCTAGGCGCTGGCCGCAATTGGCCAAACCCTCTCCTGGCCTGGGCCGCCGTATTCTCCAGAACCCTGCACCGCACCCTTTCCAGTCAAGAGGCGCGCCCGACTCGCAGCATCATCGGCGTCGTTTCCTCTGAGTCCTCGCCGGCCGATGCTCATCCCCACCGTCGGCCCCCCCCCGCTCCCATCACGCATCCGCCGCCTCACTCCCGTGCCTCGTCCTGCTCACCCTCGCCCTCTGGTGCCAGCATCTCCGCCGCACCCCCCTTGCACACCCCCCTCGCGTGCCGCCTGTCGGCCTTGGCCTGGGCGCCGCACGCCCCGATGCGAGCGAGCGGCCTCGCCCAGCGCCGCCCGAGGCCCCTACGGCGCCATGGCGGCGTTCTCCCGCTTCCTGCGGCAGGCCGCCGCGCCGGCCTCGCCGCAGGCTGCCGCGGCCTGCCCACGGGCCGCTCCCCCGCGGGCCCCCCCCCCGAGCGCTGCTCCCGGCTCGCCTGCTGCGTCTTCCTCTGGGCGGCCACCGCCTGTCGGTGGGCCCCAGGAGGTGTGGCGGCCACACCGCGTGGTGAGCCGGTGGGGATTCGGGGTCACCGCACGCTTTTGGGATCCGGGTCGTCCTTTGAGGGCGTCTCGGGTGAATTCGGGCCCCCGAGGTCCCGAGACCGTGCGGCGGCGGACCGCGCGGTGAGGTCGTTGGGGACTCCGAGGTCACCACGCGGCCCGTCACCAGACAGTTTCGCGGCCCCGAAGTTTAGGGCCAGCGAGGGTGCCCGTGACGCTGCGGCAGGGTGCGGATCACAGCGGCTTGACGGGGCGATGCATGGGCTGAGCGTCAGGGAACGGATCTTGGTGTCAGCCAGGGGCCTCGGAAGCGGTTCAGTTGTGTCTCCTTTGAGTTGTTCTTCGATTGAGGCGCGCCAGGAGAGGTAGGTTGGCAGGCGGGCTCTCGGACCTTCCGAGGAGAAGGGGGGCGTGGGCAAGATGTATGAGCATCGATGCAGGAAGAGGTTGGGCCGCTCTCCCCCAAGATTCGTGAAGCTTAGCGGCTCTCGCCTTGCTCAGATGCTCTTGGCGCCTCCGCCGTCGCGGTATTTGTTTTGCGGTATGTCCCACATCAACAATGTCGCGCTACAGGTTCTCAAACCGACGTTGTTGATTCAACTTCAACGCCAGCCGCCTCATTGTCTACTCGCAACGCTCGCGTACATGTGTCATTCTCCCAACTTCCCCCTCTCGCCGAAAGAGCCTCGCGTTAGGCACAACCCAAAGAAGGAATCGTCGGAGTCACATACCGACCATGTCTACAGTATGTTTCCTGTTCGAGCGCTACGCGAACATTGCCACACTTAGTTTACAGAGCTGTTGCTCAAGTGGTCTGCTGATGAAAGGAAATAGTGGCTTCTGTTTCCAATGCCACTGCTACATACCAATACTACGGACAAGTCTTGCAACCACCAACCCTGCACGATTTCCCTAGCGGGGCCCCGCCCAATGAGGACGAGCGGTCGAATGTTCATAGGTCACTGCCGAGAACAGCAAGAACGAATGAGCGGATCGTCAGGCGGCTCACTATGCGTTCTTTGCTTCGAGTGGAGTTTGCTGACGTGGACATTCCGCCGAGGGCCCCGGGGACTCCTAGTGGCCGTTGGGTGCCCCCGAGAGCTCCGAACTCCAACCTGAACCTTTCAACTGGGAATGGTTGAAGAAACCCCCAAAAAAACGCGCCCCAGCGTCACTTCCCAGCCCCTCGCGCGGCCGCCCGTTGTGGGCGGACTGGGGGTCCCGCCCCGCAACAAGGCCCCCATCGGCGAGCATACCTCAGTCGCCCTAAAGTGGGGAAGTGGCCCAAGTTGCTCAGCAAGGCTGGGCAGATTCAGAGAGCCATTTAGATTGTTTGGTAAGGGCTACGTCGGATAGCCCAGCTCCCAGTCCCCAGTTCCTCCTCCTCCTCCTCAGCCTCCTCCTCCTCCTCCTCCTCCTCCTCCTCCTCCTCCTCCTCCTCCTCCACGTCCTCCTCCACGTCCTCCTCCTCCTCCTTTTCCTCCTCCTCCTCCCTCCTCATCCTCCTCCTCCTCTCCTCCTCTTCATCTTCCTCTTCCTCCTCCTCCTCCTCCTCCCTCCTCCTCCTCCCCCTCCCTCCTCCTCCTCCTCCTCCTCCCCCTCCTCCCCCTCCTCCCCCTCCTCCCCCTCCTCCCTCCTCCTCCTCTCCTCCTCCTCCTCCTCCTCCTCCTCCTCCTCCTCCTCCTCCTCCTCCGCCTCCTCCTCCTCCTCCTCCTCCTCCTCCTCCTCCTCCTCCTCCTCCTCCTCGCCGCCCCTCGCCCTGGAGGCTGCCGGGCTGGCGGCTGACGCCTGCGCGCCAGACCGGGTGCCAGACAGGCGCAGGCCAGCGACCCCGCAGGCGGGCCCGTGGGGGCCCCTTCGCCCCAGGGGCAGGAGGAGGAGGGAGGAGGAAGGTGAGGAGGGAGGGGGAGGAGGAGGAGGAGGAGGAGGAGGAGGAGGAGGAGGAGGAGGGCGCGGAGGAGGAGGAGGAGGAGGAGGAGGACCAGTGTAAACCTAGGACTCAGCAGTGATATTGCTATCTATATGATTTTATTCGCCTGACGAAGGAAGGACCCAACCATATGCAATTGTGAATACAGCAATTGTGAATACCATCTTCGCCCGCGCTCCCTATGTGGCCACAGCTTTCCGCCGGAACCCGACATGCTCAGGAACACGTTCGTGGGCGTCTGCGCGGGCGCGGACGACGACAAGGACGGCGTCCCTCTGACCAAGGAGCAGAAGCAGGAGAGGGTTTTGAGAGCCATGCGGGAGGAGGTGGCGTTGCACGTCGGCAAGGCGGAGTACGACGCCCAGGCGCGGTTGTTGAAGCAGCACAACGATGGGGCCACGATCCTCGTGAGGGGTGTGCCGCAATGGCCCGGGGCCGCCATGCGAACCGTGCCATTGGCGCCTTCGGTGGAGCTCTTGCGGGGCCACGATACTGGTGAGGGGTGTGCCGAAATGGCCCGAGGCCGCCATGCGAACCCTTCCGCCGGCGCCTTCGCTAGAGTTCCTATGGGGCCACGATCCTCGAGAGGGGTGTGCCGAAATGGCCCGAGGCCGCCACGCGAACCCTGCCATTGGCGCCTTCGGTGGAGCTCCCTATGTGGCCACGATCTTCATGAGGGGTGTGCCGAAATGGCCCGAGGCCGCCATGCGCGCCCTGCCGCTGGCGCCTTCAGCGGAGCTCCTGCGGGGCCACGATTCTCGTGAGGGGTGTGCCGACATGGCCCGAGGCCGCCGCGCGAACCCTGCCATTGGCGCCTTCGGTGGAGCTCCCTACGGGGCCACGATCTTCATGAGGGGTGTGCCGAAATGGCCCGAGGCCGCCATGCGAACCCTGCCATTGGCGCTTTCGGTGGAGCACCCTATGGGGCCACGATCCCAGTGAGGGGTGCGCCGAAATGGCGCTTCCGCCGTCGCGGCATTTGTTTTGCAGCACGCCCCACATCAACGATGTCGCGCTACAGGTTCTCAAACCGTCGTTTTTCATTCAACTTCAACGCCAGCCGCCCCACTGTCTACTCGCAACGCCCGCGCACATGTGTCATTCTCCCTATTTCCCACTCTCGCCGAAAGAGCCTCGCGTTAGGCACAACCCAAAGAAGGAAACGTCGGAGTCACATATCTACAATGTCTACAGTATGATTCCTTTTCGAGCGCCACGCGGAAATTGCCGTACTTAGTTGACAGAGCTGTTGCTCAAGTGGTCGGCTGGTGAAAGGAAATAGTGGCTTCTGTTTCCAATGCCACTGCGACATGGTTGCCCCGGTGCCACAGCCAGGACAGTTGTCTGCACGAGCCACACATAGAGGTACGACGAGTGCTACTGTCACCACTACTTGCACTACTACCAATTACACGGACAAGTTTTGCAACCACCAACCCTGCACGATTTCCCTAGCGGGACCCCGCCCAATGAGGACGAGCGGTCGAATGTTTATAGATCGCTGCCGAGAACAGCAAGAACGAATGAACGGATCGTCGGGCGACTCACTCTGCGTTCTTTGCTTCGAGTGCAATTTGCTGACGTGGACATTCCGCCGAGGGCCCCTGGGACTCCTAGAGGCCGCTGGGTGCCCCCGAGAGCTCCGAACTCCAACCTGAACCTTTTCAACTGGAGATGGTTGAAGAAACCCCCAAAAAAACGCGCCCCAGCGTCACTTCCCAGCCCCTCGCGCGGCCATCCGTTGTGGGCGGACTGGGGGTCCCGCCCCGCAACAAGCCCCCATCGGCGAGCATACCTCAGTCGCCCTAAAGTGGGGAAGTGGCCCAAGTTGCTCAGCAAGGCTGGGCAGATTCAGAGAGCCATTTAGATTGTTTGGTAAGGGCTACGTCGGATAGCCCAGCTCCCAGTCCCCAGTTCCTCCTCCTCCTCCTCAGCCTCATCCTCCTCCTCCTCCTCCACGTCCTCCTCCACGTCCTCCTCCTCCTTTTCCTCCTCCTCCTCCTCCTCCTCCTCCTCCTCCTCCTCCTCTTCATGTTCCTCTTCCTCTTCCTCCTCCTCCTCCTCCTCCTCCTCCTCCTCCTCCTCCTCCTCCTCCTCCCCCTCCTCCCCCTCCTCCCCCTCCTCCTCCCCCTCCTCCCCCTCTTCGTCCTCGTCCTCCTCCTCCTCCTCCACTTCCTCCTCCTCCTCGCCGCCCCTCGCCCTGGAGGCTGCCGGGCTGGCGGCTGGCGCCTGCGCGCCAGACCGGGTGCCAGACAGGCGCAGGCCAGCGACCCCGCAGGCGGGCCCGTGGGAGCCTCTTCGCCCCAGGGGCAGGAGGAGGAGGGAGGAGGAAGGTGAGGAGGGAGGAGGAGGAGGAGGAGGAGGAGGAGGAGGAGGAGGGCGCGGAGGAGGAGGAGGAGGACCAGTGTAAACCTAAGACTCAGCAGTGATCTTGCTATCTATATGATATGATTAGCCTGACGAAGGAAGGACCCAACCATATGCAATTGTGAATACAGCAATTCTTTACGCTTCGCGTATCCCCACCAGCCCATCTCACAACAGCAACTCTTGCGAAGCATGCCGACAGTCGTGTTTTTCAGGCGTGTGTCCGCTTGGCCCCGCATATCTCCCCTGTTCCTCCTTCCTCCCGCCTCCTTGTACATCCTCCTTGTGGGGGGAGCGGGAGAAGGACGAGGCGGAGGAGGAGGGAGAGAAAGCGCTCCTCGTGATTTGAGTCGTTTGGGGTTTCTCGTCCTGGTGTGAGTCGTTCGGGCCCTTCTTCCTGGTGTGAGTCGTTCGGGCTCTTCGTGGTGTGAGTCGTTCGGGCTCTTCGTCCTGGTGTGAGTCGTTCGGGCTTCTCGTGGTGTGAGTTGTTCGGGCCCCTCGTCCTGGTGTGAGTCGTTCGGGCCCCTCCTCCTGGTGTGACTCGTTCGGGCTCCTCGTGGTGTGAGTCGTTCGGGGCCCTCGTCGTGGTGTGAGTCGTTCGGGCTCCTCGTGGTGTGAGTCGTTCGGGCGCCTCGTCCTGGTGTGAGTCGTTCGGGCCCCTCCTTCTGGTGTGAGTCGTTCGGGCTCTTCGTGGTGTGAGTCGTTCGGGCCCCTCGTCCTGGTGTGAGTCGTTCGGGCTCCTCGTGGCGTGAGGCGTTCGGGCACCTCGTCCCCTTTTGGGGCGTCTTGGGGGCCTCTTGGCGGCCCCAGGGGCTTCTAGGAGCGTCTTGGGTGCCTTGGGGGAGCCTCTTCGGGCCTCTTGGGAGCCTCTTGGAGGCCGTTTGGGGCGTTTTGGGGGCCTCTTGGCGGCCCCAGGGGCTTCCAGGAGCGTCTTGGGTGCCTCGGGGGAGCCTCTTGGGGCCTCTTGGGGGCCTCTTGGGGGCATCTTGGGGGCCTCTTGGAGGCCTCTTGGGGGCCTCCTGGGGGCCTCTTGGGGCCATCTTGGGGCCTCTTGGTGCCTCCTGGGCGCTTCTTGGGGCCATCTTGGAGGAAATCGATCAAAGAAGAGGGGAGCTTGAATTAGCGCTGCCCCCTCAGAAGGGCAAAATGGGGCCAAAACCTTCGTAAAATCAATGATGTTGGCTTGAAAGAAGAGAGGAGCTTTAATGAGCGCTGCCCCCTCAGAAGGCCAAAACGGGGCCAAAACCGTAGTAAAATCAATGAGTTTGGCTTCAAAGAAGAGGGGAGCATTTTTTCTCCCCCCCCGTCGGGGCCAGAATCCTCGTGAGGGGTGTCGTTTTTTTAGCCCTCCCAGGAGTCGAAAACGACCCCTCTGACCACCCGCGAGGCGCTCTCTCCAGGCCCAGGGGGAGGGGGTAGGGGGAGGGGTAAACCCCTCCCCGAAGGGGAAGAAGGGGGGTTGAGAACAGAGAGAGCTCTCTAAACCACTCACGCCCAAAGGGCTGGTGGGACTGTTGATATTGCTATTATATGATATTATTAGCCTGACGAAGGAAGGACCCAACCATATGCAATTGTGAATACAGCAATTGTGAATACCATCTTCGCCCGCGCTCCCTATGTGGCCACGGCTTCCCGCTGGAGTTCGACATTCTCAGGAACACGTTCGTGGCCGTCTTCGCGGGCGCCGACGACGACAAGGACGGCGTCCCTCTGACCCAGGAGAGGGTTTTGAGAGCTATGCACGTCGAGTACGACGCCCAGGCGCGGTTGTTGAAGCAGCACAATGATGGGGCCACGATCTTCGTGAGGGGTGTGCCGCAATGGCCGGGGGCCGCCATGCGAACCCTGCCATTGGGGGCCTTCGCTGGAGCTCCCTACGGGGCCACGATCCCAGTGAGGGGTGTGCCGAAATGGCCCGAGGCCGCCATGCGAATCCTGCAACTGGGACCATCCGCGGAGCTCCCTATGGGGCCACGGTCCTCGTGACGGGTGTGCCGAAATGGCCCGAGGCCGCAATGCGAACCTTGCCACTGGCGCCTTCGGCGGAGCTCCTGCGGGGCCACGACCCCGGCGAGGGGTGTGCCGCAATGGCCCGGGGCAGCCATGCGAGTGCCGAAATGGCCCGAGGCCGCCATGCGAACCCTGCCACGGGGGGCCTTCGCTGGAGCTCCCTATGGGGCCACGATCCTCGTGACGGGTGCGCCGAAATGGCCCGAGGCAAACATGCGATCCCTGCCACTGGGGACCTTTGCTGGAGCTCCCTATGGGGCCACGATCCTCGTGAAGGGTGTGCCGAAATGGCCCGAGGCCGCCACGCGAACCCTGCTATTGGCGCCTTCGGTGAAGCTCCCTACGTGGCCACGAGCCTCGTGCCGGGCGTGCCGAAGTGGCCCGAGGCCGCCATGCGAACCCTGCCAGTGGCGCCTTCAAAAAAATGAGGACCCAACACCACAGGATGGTTGGGAGAAGGGAGGGGGGGGAGGAGGGAGGAGGAGGAGGAGGAGGAGGAGGAGGAGGAGGAGGAAGAGGAGGAGCAGTAGGAGGAGGAGGAGGAGGAGGAGGAGGAGGAGGAGGAGGCGGGAGGGAGGGAGGGAGGGAGGGAGGGAGGGAGGGAGGGACGCGGGGCGTTGTCTCTTCAAAGCGAGGACCCAACACCACAGGATGGTTGGGAAAAACCAAGATCCCTCCAAGTTCCCTCTTCATAGGACTTTACAAGGATTGATTTCCACTGGAAGAAGTGCCCCGTTGGAAGACAACCGTGTGAAAATCCTGCACCGTACCAGATCGAGGATCTGGAGGAGGAGACGGGAGGATGCGGGGGAGGAGAAAGAGGAGGGGTCACAGCAGGAGAGGGCACAGCAGGAGCCCAGCAGCAGGAGAGGGGTCGCAGCAGGAGAGGGCACAGCAGGAGGGGTCGCAGCAGGAGAGGGGAGGAGAAAGAGGAGTGGTGGCCAGCTGTGCGCACCACGGCGCGCTGCCGACGGCCACTGCAACCCCAGCACTCAGGGCAGCGGAGGCCAGGAGTGCACTGGTGACCACCGGGGACACAACGACCAGGCACCTCACGAAGGCTGAGAGCCTCTAGACGGGCGGGCCCCTATGGACGATCATGCGGGGACATAGCGAGCAGGTACATCAACAGGCGGGTCTTAGAGGGCGGGGCCCTATAGACGCCGTCTGGAACCCTCAAGCCGGAGCAGCCAAGGCGGGTTCCTTTCGGGGCTCAAGAGACGGGGGTCAATGCAAACGGGAGTCAGCCAGGGCACCGGATCCTGCAGGATCCTGCGGAGACCCCCTCTGGCTGACCCGGGTTAGCGAGCCGCTCGTGGCCGCGAGCCGGCCGCGCATATTGTTTGACCCGGGTTTGCGAAGACCTGCGTTGCAGTTTTTTTCCTGCACTGCAGTTCTTTGGTTTCCTGCTGACCCGGGTCTGGATTGACCCGGGTCAGAAGATCCCCGATCCTTCTCGGCGGGATTTTATGGACCATTTCAGCATTTGAGCCTGACAATCAAGCAACAATATTGCAGCACAAGGTTTCGTGCAAGCACTCTGCGAGAAACATGTTGGTAGAGCAGCGCAGGTTGGTGGGGAAGGTTCTTCAATTATTCCCAAGAGCTTGTCTGCGTACGGTCGCGCCGCTTTGGAGGCATTGGCGCGCCTCAGTCTGCGGCTACTCCTCCTCCTCCTCGTTGTCCGCTTGGTCCTCCGACGCCTCCTCATCTCTTCCTTTCGCTCCACCACAATCGCAACTACTTCATCCTCCCCGCTACGCCTTGCACGTTTCCTTCACTGGTGCATCCTTCATCATACCCATCCTCTTGCTCATATCTCCGCGTTCGCGCCCAGAGGAGATTGGCGAGGATGGCCACCTAGGCACGGCATGTGGCCTAAGCGCACCACCTCGCCCGACAAGGCAACAGAAAGAGGACGGGAGGATAGGAAGGAGGGAGGGAGGGAGGAGGAGGAGGAGGAGAGTGAATAGAGAGGAGTCGGGACAGAGAGCGCAGGTCAAGAACGGGGCCGTTGTCCATTCCTGCACTGACCGTCCCGGTTGCTATGTGCCTCATCCCTCCCGTTCTCCCCCGCACTCCTACCTCCTAGGGAGGAGCGGGCACAGGGTGTCCCCGAACTCTGCGTCTCTGCGCTCCGGCGTTGTGCCGCTCGCTGCCCCACCCCTCCTTGACTGTCCCTCCCCCGCCAGGCTGCCGAGGCACAGCGCCCCCGCAAGCAGCCGAGGTTGATGGGCCGATTTCCCCCCACCGCCACCATAGGTAGGAGAGGGAGGAGGAGGAGGAGGAGGAGGAGGAGGAGGAGGACCTCCCCGTCCTCCCTTCTCCCCCGTCCTACCTGCGGTAGCGTTGGTGGAGAATTGGCCCATCAGAGGTTCATGGACATCCGCTCGTTCATCCGGATGGTCCCCGTGGCAGTTGAGTAGAGCGGCCGTGTGCCCGTGAGGCAGGCGCACCAGGGTGCAGCCTCGAGCCGGAGGGCAGCGGCGCTGTGCGCGTTGCCGCTCCGCCTCCTCCCATGGGCTGTCCAGGCAGCGCGGGGATCTTCGAATTCGGCGCTCCAACCCAGGCAGCACCTGCGCCACCTCCATGGTGTCCCTTCTGCGTTGACGCGTGCCTCTATGGCTTGGGCACAGTCGCCCCCTAGCGCACGACGCCAGCACGCAAGGCGGGGACGGCGGTGGACCGCCATCTACCGGTCAGTGGGCGCATGTTGTAAAACGATGCGCTTGTGCCATCTTGTTGGGTTTGAGACGTGGCTCTTCAGGCCCTGCGCACATGCACGGTGGCACGCGCTTTCCAAGGCGAAGGGCACAGCAAAATTAAAGCAGGACCGAAAGCATGTGGTTGCGTTGCTGTGCACACCGGGCTTCGCGCTTGGGGAAGTTGCGTACATCGTGGCATGGCACGGCTGTGGATGTAGCGTTGCTTTCCTCGGGGTTCTCTCGGGACCTCTTCGGTCGGTCTTTCGGCCGTCTGGCCGTTCCTGAACGGGGCTGCTGGGGAGCCGCTTTGGAGCGCCCCAAAACGGCCCAAGAGGGCTTCTTCATGAGGGTCCGCGGCCATTTTGGCTCAAGCCGTTTTGATTGTTTTGATTCAGGTCACTTTGGCTGAATACTTTTTGCAGGCGATCTCCTTAAGCCCAGCTGGCGCCGAAGAAACTGTCATATCAACCTTGGTATTGCCCGCGAGAACAGCATCACGAACCTACTCTTCGCAGGCGACATTCTTGCACGCCCCGAACCTACGACAGCTCACCTGTTTGCTGCGGGACCTCAAATGAGAGGCATCCAACTGCAGACTTTCGCTACACCCCGACGAGTCGAGACCAAGAGACTTACAAATGTCAGCCGGACGAAGCGGAGAAACATCTCACACATAATTTGGGGCGGAGCGCCTATCGACATCCTACATTCCGATCAGAGTGCGAAATATTTGGAAAGAAACTGTCCTTTCGCGAGTCCCATACCACCGAGCTGCAGCACAGGATCGCGCGTGGATGGTCCAGGTTCAACCAATTGCGACCTGAGCTCACAAACAAGCGTTTTCCATTACACAGCTGATTGAAACTCTTCAACGGCACGAAAACACCGAGCGTTATGTATGGTTGCTCCCCTTGGACCCTCCCCAAAGACATGCTGGTCACATTGCAACGGGTGCAACAGAAAATGCCCAGACGTGTCATAGGGATGCCCAGCACGCGGCAGAACAACGCAGACAACCCCTAAACACCGACAACACCGACACCACCACCGACAACAACGACACCAGCGCCAGCTCCGACAGAAACTCCGACGACGACGCTAGCCCAGGCGGCCAGAACGACAGCGAAACAAGCGGCGACGAGTTGGAATATTGGGTTCAGTTTATCCGTAGAAGTACTACCGCCGCCACGGCACTGGCGAAACGTGCATGGGTCGAAGATTGGACAGATATTTATTGTTGTTCGCGTCGCCAACCACGATTTCGACGGATGGACACGCCTGGGCGCGAGCTGGGACCCAAGTTTACACGACCGACGACCCGCTTTTCGCCGACACTGGGGGCAGAAGAAGTCTTGGGACGACGACATCGCTTCGTTTCTGCATTCGGAGACAGACACAGACGGCGATACGCAGTGGTGGAAACTCGCCCGAAGTCGACAATGGTGGGACAATCGAGGAGAGCACCTCCTACAAGAAATGCATTGTTTTATCCACTCTGGCCACTACCCTTGAGCATACCCGCTCCTGATATTGTCCTTCCGGCTCGTGCTCCTGCCGCCAGGCTCTCCTATCTTCCGGCTCCGGTACCTATCCTTCCGACTATTGCTGTCGTCTCTCCGGCTCCAGCTCTTGCCCCCGCGACTCTAGTTTCGTGCAGCACTTTTCCAGTTTCCGCGCTATTGTTCGACTTCGGCGATCGTTTCTCCGACACTGAAACATCCCGGAGAGTTGGAAGACGCTCGGCCCGTCCAGATTTTTACCCGACAACTGCGCTGGCAACGCGTATGACGAAACAGGGGCGGACAAATCCTGCCCCCAAAAAGCCTTGAGAACGTTGGTCGAACGAGGTGTGCTACATCCATATCATTCATATCTGGACACAGCCTGGAAAATAAAAGTCGATGTTTGCCCATTCTGTTCTACTTGCTATGCTAAGAATGAGTATGGTAGCTCCCGTCCAGAGGGGAGAAACTCGTTACGTGACCTTTTCTGCTGAGCCTCAACAAAGCTACGAGGATGGGCTGGCATCATCCAGAATTACATCACCTGCAAACCCCCGACCCACGCTCCTGCTCGCCGATCGCCCCTCCGACTCCGACTCCGACTCGTGACGGCCCCGCACCCCCCGCCTGTGCTGTCGCAGCCTTGGCCGCTGTGTCGGTGGGTGCCGTCGTGCTGTCCCTCGTCGGTGCCTCGTCGTGCTCCCGCCGTGGAGATGAATGTTTTTAGTTTTGAGCCAGTGACGACCACGCCACCGCCGCCGCTCGTTGGAGATTTCGGCTTGAACCCCGCGAGCAGCAGCACGTACATCGTCAGCATGACCATCCTGTTTTTCGGCTCGGTGCTCGCGAACGGCAGCGGTTTCTTCGGTCCATGGTGACCGAGGGGGACCATCGAGTATGGTGGCGGGTTGGGGTGGCTTCTCGACAACGCCACGGTTTCCCGTGCTGCTCGCGTCTGCTTCCAGGCACAGATTCTGCAGCAGGAACGCATTTGAATTGCCTTCGGTGCGAAAATACAGAAGGCTGCTTTATGAGGCCCCACCAGACCCTGGGATATGTAGAACGAGCAGTTCAGAACACGGGGGAGCTATGGGAGCGAACCCAGTTTGAGGTTGGTGCTTCCTTGTTCCAGGGGCCATTTAGACCGATGTTCCTCCAAGCCCACTTCATGTCCATCCTCCCGATAGACGGCCCAAAGAGGCCTCCAAGACCGCCTAGGCCCCAACAAGCGCCCGAGATGTTCCAGGAGGGAAACCCAAGAGGCTCAAAGAGATGCCCCAGGCAGCTTACATCAATCAACCAGAACTGTTGTCCTGCTGCCCGCGGCAAATGCTGCCACCGTGCCATCACGGCCCTCTGTGTGGCGAGGCTTCGAGCACTGCCCACGAGGCCGCAGGATGTGGCAATGCTCGCCCCTGTTCCTTGGAGGGCTCCTGTGGGGCCTGTCTTGGCCTCCTTGGTACTGTCTGAGGCTCCTGTGGGGCCGCCTTGGGGCCCTCTTGGACCGTCCTGGTGCCGTCTGCGCCCCTCTCGGCCGTCTGCGGAGTCTCTTGGGGCTGGCTTGGGAGCCTCGGGCTCCTTTGGGCTGTCCCGGCCCCCCCCTGCACGCGCGGGGGGGTACGTGGCCACCCCAGACAATGATGGGACATCCGGGGACTACGTTTGGGCATCTTGGAAGCATGCTCGAGGCCATCTTAGGCCGAGTTCAGCCGTGTTGCACGATAGCGAAGGCACGCTGAGACTATCTGGGGCGATCTTGGTATAATCTTGGGCACTCTTGGCGTCAGATTGGACCCTTTAACTTCCTGTACCCTTCCGTTCAGATCCCTGGGAAGGGCAAGTTTATTCCTCAAGCGGGAAGATTTGTAAGAGCTGAGACTCCAGAAATTTGCGAGCAGAGGGCTGGTGGGATTTTGGAACCGGTGCCTCGCGAACCTTGGACCGTCCGAATAATGTGGAGCGCAATGCCGATGCAAATGAGCTGAGGAGGGGGAGGCCTTGGGGACGCTGCAATTGTCCCTGGCAGGTACCCCGTCTTACTGGCAGGCCGAAAAAGGATGGGCGGGATAATGCAGCATGCGCCCTCCATGTGCAAGTGAGCCTTGAAATAAGGACACGAAGCTGACATATTTAGATAAAGCGACGGCCGTGAATATGAAACCAAGTATCCCAGGCAGGAAGTGCTAGGCTGCCCCGCTCACATACTCAAATCTGTAGCACGATTGCGCACGTACGTAAGGCCAGGATCTTTGAAATGAAGTCCCCATCGATTCGACAAGTTTCAACCGGACCTGATTGCACTTCTGTTGAAGGAACAAGGGCGATTGGTCTCACTGTTCAAACGCTTCTGTTTGAGCGAGCACGCATCTCCTGGAAAGGCGGGGACCTGACACGTATCTCGAGTGCGCGTGCAGGCAAGGGGCGCGGTATTTGAGAGGATGAGCGCAGATAACGTGAAAGGCGCAAGCGCTCCTTCACTCTGCCCCGCTAAAGTCGACGCAGGCGTGCGAGGTCGGCCGATTGCTTCTGCCTCTCGGTCGTCTGGCCGTGCGTCGCTTGAGCCTCGTCTCAGGTGGGATCGCAGGGGCGGCGCTCGACGAGCGTGCCGTCGGCCGTGCCGGAGTCAGGGCCCCCCGAGAGCAGAGAGGCCGCCGTGTGGTGCTGATGGCAGTGCGCAGTGCATTAGCTCGGTGGATACGGGGCCCAGGCAGGTGGCTCGCGCGCCGCACCAGCAGGGCCCGAGGCGGACGGAGGGAGAATGTGCTCCAACGTCAGTGGTGTGAGTGTGTCTCAGAGGCCCATGCTGTGCTTGCAAGGGTTCCTATCCTCCTCCTCCTCCTCCTCCTCCTCCTCCTCCTCATTCTGCTCCTCTTCCTCCTCCTCCTCCTCGTCCTCATTATGCTCCTCCTCCTCCTCGTCCTCATTCTGCTCCTCTTCCTCCCCCTCCCCCTTCTCCTCCTTGTCCATCTTGTTTCCTTCTAGATGTCCCCTCTCGGTCGCGCCCCCAGACGTGTCGGTAAGGCGGGGCAGGCGTCTCGCCTGAAACTTCCTCACCATTCGTGATATTGAAGCTTACACTTTGCAACAGCATCAAGGATGGAGGGCGGGAGGCCCGTTTTCTAAATGTGACTCGCCTTGGTGCCGCGCACATTCGTCTTAACATGTTCCATCAGTTTCAAAGATGGAGGGCGATTCGTGTTCAAAATGCTGCTCTCGCACAGTGCCGCTCACGTTCGTCCTAAACGTTTGCAGTAGCTTCAAGGTTGTAGGAAGGTTTTTTGTTCAAGATATGCTTCTCGCCTTCGCGCCGCGCACATTCGTTTAAAAAGCTTTCGGCCGTTCATTGAGTCGTGCTGATGAAGTCCCATGGGTGTTGTTCTGGCATGAGCTAAGGACGCAAAACGTACGTGGGTTCTCGGCTTGGAAATCTCTGGAACGTGTGCTGCCACGGCTTAAGATTGTCAGGGCGCAGCAGCCACGTCGACTCGCAGCGCTGAAGTCCCGGGAAGGGTGCACTGGCACGATGGAGGATCCTCAGACGATTGATCTTCGATGGGGCGCTTCCCGCAGTGAGGATAAATTCTTTTGGGGACCTGTGGGCATGGAACTTGGAGGGAGAGTTGATTGCAACCTTGTTGATGCGTCTTGGGGTTACACTGGTCCTCCTCCTCCTCCTCCTCCTCCTCCTCCTCCTCCTCCTCCTCCTCCTCCTCCTCCTCTTTCTCCTCCTTTTCCTCTCTCCCGCAACCTCCTTCGCGCTGGGCGGCTACACTGGCACGCAGCATGTACATACAGAGGCAGTCCTCCTGGCAGGGGACCAGCTGGAGTTGCCTGACACGGGGTGTCCCCAGAGGCCCGCCCGCAGGTTTCTTGCAGAGCACGGATCGGTTTGGTCCCCGAACCTGGGGAAGTTGCCCGCATCCGTTCGACAGCGCTCCCATACCAGGACTCCGCATCATGGCGTGGGCGACAACAGTGGACAAGGTCCCCATACTCGTGTCCCGCATCCCTCTGTGCAGGGGCGGCCTCAGAGGGGAATAGGCCCAGGGGGAGGACGCATCGACCCCCCCGTTGCCCATTCGTCGCCGACAGGGGGCTCCGATAGCCCACCCCGCCCAGGGACGTGCGGGTTCTCGCCATCGGGGGCCCATCGCCGATCCATCGGCGATGCGTCGCCGAGCCCAGCTCGACGGCTCCCCCGGAGCCGCCCCCCCCCCAAACGGTGCCCCTCATCTGTGGGCCGCCGCTCGGCTGGGCCGCCGTGCCGCGCGCACGGGGCGGCGAGCGCCCGAGCGAGGCGCTCCGCGGCACCTCGAGGGAACCGGGTCGTGTCCTCCGGAGCCTCCCCCGGAGGGACCGGCTCTCTTCGTCCTGAGCCGTGTCCTGACAGCCCCGGGGCCTGTGGATCACCACACGCCGAAGCGCCCCAGCCCCACCCGAAGGCCCCAAGTTGCCCTCCATTCCCAGTGGGGGCAGTTCATCGGGGAATTCCTCGAAAGAAGGCACGTGGAACCCGTACCCCCCCCCCAACCCGAACTTTGGATCCTCGGGTCAGGTCGGGGTGGTCTTGTTAGGTCCTCGGTGGAGGGCCCCGGCGCCACAGATTGCTGAAAATTTCGGTGCCCGCTTCCCGCAGGACCCGGTTCCCTTCACGGTTAGGTCGGGCCTGTCCCCCGAAAGGCGGATTTTGGACGAAACAATTCAAATACCCCAAAAATACCCCCCCCCCTCCAGAAAAAAAATGAGAATAGATAAAAGCATTGGATGATTCTTCAAGTACACCAGAGAAAAAACCCAATCAGTGGATGGTTTGTCCCTGAGGAGATCGACAGGAAACCCGGGAGCCTGGGAACCCAGAACCCACCGAAATCGGCCCGGAAGCGATAACCGGGAATCCGGGAACCCAGAACGGGAAACCCGGGAACCCAGCTTGCTGCCAAAATCGGTGGGAAATTTTCGCCAAATCCTTCAACTTCCGCTAGGACCCCTTCAGTGCAAGGACAGATCGGGGCATTTCCGCGAGGACCCTTTCAGTGCAAGCACTGATTGGAGAATCTTCCCCCTGGAAAGGGACAGGCCCCCTCCGCCCCCCCCTCGGGCCGCGCACATGCCGCCGGTCATGACCTGCGCCCCCCTTCGGGGCCGCCCCGGCCTCCCTCGCGGCGCGCCGCGGCGCCCCCGCGGGAGGCCCTGGCCTCCGGCGCGGTGCTCTTTTTTCAAGGGCTCGGCATCGCTCGGACGTGTGCAGTTTTTCTTCGGCGAGGACCATCGAGGAGCATCCTCGATCATTTGGCGAAAAAACCAACGCACGAAATCGAAAAAAAAAAAAACGGGAATGGACGTCCGAGCGATGGCGAGAGGGCGCCCTCGAGGGCGCGAAGTTCTTCGCACGGCTCAACTCTACCGCGAGGCGCCCCTCCGCCCGCGGGGGCCCTCTGCCCCCGCCGGCGGCACGGCGCGCCGGGCCATGCCGCGCGGCGCGCCCGCCGCGCTGGGCGCCTGCCGGGCCGTGCGCCGGCCGGGTGCGGCCCCCGCGGTGCGGGCGGCGCGCCCTGGGCAGCGAGACGCGGGCCCGGCTCGGCAGGCGCCGAGTTTGCCCCCCCGCCGCCGACGAGACGCAAGAGTGGCCCTCCTCCTCCTCCTCCTCCTCCTCCTCCTCCTCCTCCTCCTCCTCCTCCTCCTCCTCCTCCTCCTCCCTCCCCATCGAAGACGGCCAACACATACTGCGACCGCTTCGTTCGCCCCGTGGACTTTGCCGACTGCCCGCCACCGTCCCTTGCTATGCTGAAGAGAGTTGCACGCTCTGTTAGCGACTCAGCGCCAGGAGTTGACAGATTATGTTATGCGGTCTGGCTGGCCCACCCGAGTGGACTGATACTGCTGCATGACCTGCTCTGGTGGATGATGTCTGGATACAGCATCCCTGTCGCTGAGAGTGTCACCTTGCAAGCCTTTTTGCCGAAGGGAGAGTCCAGCACTGACACGAGAGAGGGCGACTGCGACAGCGAAGCTTCGTCGGTTCGTGTTCTCGGACTTCGAAATACCAGCATCAAATTGCTCACTGCGACCATGAACATAGCGATCAGAAAACCGCTCGATCGTTTCGTTCCTCGGGACCAACGCGGGTTCATGAAAGGCAGGAATTTTTGCCAGAACATCTTAGAGGTGGACGCCCTCGTTCGTGTGCACTCTGCCCGCCCTGAAGCTGACGACCGCTGTCCAATGCTGTACGCCTTGGACTACGGCCACACTTTCCCGAGCCTGTCTCAGGAGTTCGTGATTCTAGTTTTGAGGAAGAATGGGATGTCCTATCGGGTTTTTGATGTTCGCCGAGACGCTGTATGATAGCATCGAAGGTGTGATGTCGGTTCAGGGGATCCTGGTTCATGCTTTTTGGATTCGCTTTGGGATTATCCAAGGGTGTGCTCTGTCAGGCTCGCTGTTCGCGATTGCCCTCACGCCGGCGCTGATTGACCTCAACCGCAGTTTCGAGATCCCGCGGAAGGGGATAAATCGTGCGTGTGCGGACGACTTGGGTGGAGCCTTGTCGGACATCCGTTTGTTGCTGCAGCTTAGACGCGTGATGAAAGTCGTTGAGCTGATCGCGCACCTGTGCCTCAAGCCAGCTAAGTGTGTCTTGACTCCAGTCTCAGGTCCGTTTACCCCTGCTCTCAAAGCCCAAGTCCAAAAGTTTCTGAACATGTTCATTCCCGAGTGGTCCGAGTTCCGAATTGAAGCCAAACTGTTTTACCTGGGTATGTGGATTGGTCCCGCGGCCGAGCTGGTCGACTCCTGGACTCTCCCTCGCCAGAAGCACCGTGATCGTGCTGCGGCAATTGGTGCTGGTAATACGCCTGCATCATCGTCGGCCGTGCTGTACTCGACACGTACAGTGTCTGTCTTCAGTTACGTCATGCAGTTTTGGCCGTTGCCGACAGAACTGAAGGACGCCGAGAAAGGTGCCTTGGCTCAGGCGTTCCGCCTTCCGCTTGGTGCTTTCCGTGCACGGGACTGGGCGTATCTTCACGAGTGGAATGCACCTAGAGTGTGCCCGCTGGAGGTACTCAGCATCGCTTCGCTCGCTCGGACGGCCAAGTCGACATTACCTGAATATGATCGGATATATCGTTGGCTGGTGCGCATGACAGACACGCCCATGGCTCAGGAATTGGACGAGTGCCGCCTGACAGTGTTGCCTGCGGGGAAACGGTATCCACGGCACTGGAAGTGCCGTGCCTTTGTTGAGTTTCTGCATGATGCTGATCGTGGAGTCGGAGGTCCAATGCACGTTGCTGCTGCCGCCGCCTGCTCTGTAAATGATGTGAAGCCGCAGCGTGCCGCCAAGCTTGCCTGCATCCAGTGCTGGCCGCAGCACGGTCTCGGAGAGTTGTTTGCGTCCCGTCTCCTGAAGTGGTGGCCTGAGCAGGCTGCGGTGATCCAGGCCATTGACTGGCCCAGCATCCAAAGTGTTCTCAGATCTGTCCCGCCCTCCTGGGCCTGGTCGTGGATTCGAACCTTGAGCGGAGCGTGGCTCACCTCCCATCGCATCCTGAATGAAGGTGGTCGTAGGGGCTGCACTTTTGGTTGTGAGGGGGAGCCCGATCGTCAACTGCACTACGCCAGCTGCCCTCGCCTTGCCTGGTCTATCTCAACTGTTCTGCGTTATAGGCAGTTGTCCTCTGATCCGTTGGCTAGATGGGGGATCCCGATATGTACCGTTCCTGTTCTCGAGGAAGTGTTCATTGCATGTCATATTTATCACTATCTCCGTCACCTCCCTCATGCGTCTCTCCTTCACCCTCAAGTGAATCTCGATGCGGCAGCGGCTGCTGTCCGCGAGCTGCACCTCACGGCGCCCAACGCCGAGGAGCGCCGCGGGTAGGGGACGTCGTCGTCGTGGTACGCTTGCCTCCTCCTCCTCCCTCATCCTCCCTCCTCCTCATTCCTATTCCCTCTTCCCTCCACTGAGGCCCTCTGTGTACAGAATTTGGATGGGGCAATCATCGCCCCCCCGCAGCCGACGAGACGCAAGAGTGGCCCTTCGCCGGTGGTGACCTCTGGTGCCAGCCCGCTGGGGTCCTGGGGAACGAACGATGACATAAACATTTAAAGTCGGAGGTCCGCGTGGATTTCTCGGATCGGCGCTGGACCCCCCTGGCGGCGCCTCCGGCGCCGCCCCTGCGCTCCAGGGAGGGGGGTCCGCCGATCCGAGAAATCCGAGCGCACCTGCGATTTTTTAGGTTTCTGTCGTTCGTTCTCTCCAGCTGGAATTCGCGAAGCCCTGGGCAGCAATGCTGTGGTTTTCGGGCATGCGTTGGCGGACTGGGGCGTCAGCACGCCCACAAAAACGTTGCAGCCGTGGGTCGAGACACATTCGCCATCGTTCGTTCTCCCTGGCTGGAACTTTCGAAGTCCTGATCAGCATTTTCCTGGTTTAGTGGGGGTCTGAACCCCCAGACCCCCCTTTGACCCCCCCCTTTCAGGGAAGGTTCAGGGGGGATTTGGGGGGTGGCTCCCCGCGGAACCCCCCTGAACAGCCCCAGGGGGCAATTTTTTGATGAGGTTCGGAGGGGCGGGGGGGGTCGTCTGGAGCCCCCCCCCCTGCTGGGGCAGAAGGCCGCTTGCCGACCCGCTCGGCAGAGGCCAGCTCAGGCGAGACTGGTTCCACGGACCTGGCCCCATACCGGCCCGACCTGGAGGCTCGCGGCCACGCTCCTGCCCGCTCCGCTCCTCCCCCCGTCATCCGCCCTCCATCATCTTCCTCCCCGCTCCATGTCCCCCCATCCCAGCCCACCCCCCTCCTCCATCCACCCCACTCCTCACGCATCCCCACTCCTGCCCACCCCGCTCCTTCCCACCAGTCCGAGCTGCTGCGCTCCCCGATTCATCCCGAGCCGTTTTCTGACAGCCACGGGGCCCGTGGAGGGCCTATCGCCCCTATTGTTCCCCCTCAGGGAACGTGTGCCCCGTCCGCGACATAGCCCCGAGGACGCGCGCGCGTGGCTGCCCGCACCCGCGACTCAGTTCACTCCTCCTCCTCCTCCTCCTCCTCCTCCTCCTCCTCCTCCTCCTCCTCCTCCTCCTCTCCTCCTCCTTCTCTCCTCCTCCTCCTAGCCGCCCTCCTCCTCCTCCTCCTCCTCCTCCCTCCTCCTCCTCCTCCTCCTCCTCCTCCTCCTCCTCCTCCTCCCCCTCTCCGTGCTTTCTTTGTTGTATAACTCAGGTTGGCCTGACGACCTGCCCGCATCCTTGCTTCGACGACGACGACGACGACGACGTCTCCCTCCAGTTTCGCTGCCACCTTGCCAAGACACACATGGGATTTTTAACAAAATTTTAACGACGCGATCATGCCTGGGAACCCGTGCGGATCGTCGCAGACCCGCAGAGCGTCGTGGACGGATGCCCCCAGGGGCCGCCGGGGAGGGCCGGCGCGAGGAGGAGAAGGAGGAGGAGGAGGAGGGAGGAGAGGAGGAGGAGGAGGACGAAGGAGGAGAAGAGGAGAGGAGGAGGAGGAGGAGGAGAAGGATGAGGAGGAGAGGAGGAGGAGGAGGAGGGAGGGAGGAAGGCCCCGAGGATGCGCGCACATGGCCGCCCCCGCGGCTCCGCCCTGCCCCCTTGCAGCACCCGCTCGCGGTGCCGCGGCGGTGCGCGGCCGCCGCCGCCGCGCCGCGGGCGGGCCAGGCGCTCGTGCCTCCGGCCGGCGGCGGGGGCTCTCGCTGGCGCATGGGCGGCCTGGATGTCAGCGGGGGAAGTCGGGGCCGATGTTCGAAGAAGAAAAACCGCATAAACATAAACTGTTGGCGCGCCGCGCGGGTTTCTTGTGTCTGCGCCTGGGCCCCCCGGCGGCGCCTCTGGCGCCGCCCTTGGCGCGATCCGCGCGCCAGGGAGGGGGTCCAGCGCGAATCCAAGAAATCCGCGCGGAGCGCCAAAAGTTTATGCTTATGTGGTTTTATCCTCTTCTAGATATACCCAGGGGCGGCCACGAAGGGGGTGATAACCCTCCTCAGAATCAAGCGCAAGCAATTACTGTTGATCAACACGCGAAGCGCAGCCCGCGGGCCTAATGTCTGCGTTTACGATATGCTGCTAATATTGGCCCCGTGATTGTGAAGGGACGACCCCCCCTCCCCCACCCCTCCTCTCTTTTGGGGGGGGGCGAACTGCGCTCCCGGCGACGACAGACTGACGTTCTTCCCCCCCTTCTCCTGCCTCGGTGGGGGGGACAGCGTTCCCGGCCCGCCGGCGGCGAATGACTGATGTTATGATTCCCCCCCGAGTGTTGCGACCTCCGGCCGGCGTTTCAGTTCTTGCTGCCTGCTATTGACTCGCGTGATGTCCACAGGCGCTCCGGCGACCTCGGGCCGCTCAAACATGCATTGTTCTTGGCCTCGAAGGTCGTTGCTCGAGTCCTAGGGCTCCCTCGAGGGCGCGAAGTTATTCGCGCTTCGCGCTTCGCGGTCCTCGTTCCTTCTCCCCCTCCTCCTCGTCCTCCTATTCTCCCTTTGGGAGGGCGGCGCGAGAGCGCGAAGTTATTCGCGCTTCGCGCTTCGCGCAGCGCGAAGCGCGAAGTTGGGAGCCCTAGTGGACTCGCAATCGGCCGTTGGGCATCTGTTCCACCTTCGTGGGCCTCGTGGGAGGCCCTCGTCGCTGCGGGCGGCTGGACTCGCCTCGGACGTCTGGTCGGAGCGCACCCCAGGACGGACATGTCTTGGGGCCGATGTTTGAGGGGAGGAGGAGGAGGAGGAGGAGGAGGAGGAGGAGGAGGAGGAGGAGGAGGAGGAGGAGGAGGAGGAGGAGGAGAGAGGAGAGAGGAGGTTTTTTTTCCTGGAGAGGCGCGAAGGCGCGGGGAGAGGGCGCACGCCAGTCTGCAATCGGCACCGTGCACTCCGGAGCAGCGGCGACGAGGAGCCGGCGGCAGCAGGCGGGCGCCCTGCAGCGGGTCCGCCGGCACGGGCGGAAACGGCCCCGAGGCCGAGCTCCGAGGCCCGAGAGACAAAGCCGGGCCACTCCGCCGTCCACCGGGGCAGAGGGGAGGGGGTGTGTCGGAGGGCACCAACTATACACCAACACCGACCCTGGCCCAGGATCACCCTGGGCCCAGGATCGGTGTATATGCCTTCTTGCGCAAGGCAGGAGGGCGTATACACCGATCCTGGGCCCAGGGTGATCCTGGCCAGGATCGGTGTTGGTGTATAGTTGGTGCCTTCCTAGCGTGGGCTGAGCAGCGGTCGAGGTGAACTGGCTGAACCGAGTCCGCCCCCGTGCCCAGGCGCCCCACGGGGGGCGGCCCCCCTTTCTGCACTGTCGCCGCCGAGGGAGCATGACCTCCAGCGCTCCACGGCCGTGCAACAGGGGGACGCCGACAACGCGCAGCAGTGAAAAAGACGGCCACAAGAGACCCCAGATCGAGCCAGCTGCGAGCGTCAGGCTACCGCGGCGAGTAGATGGGGGGCGGGGCGACGGTCGAGGTGGATGGCTAAACCGAGTCCACCCCCGTGCCCAGCCCACCCGCAGGAAGGGCGGCCCCCTTGTGCAACAGTCGCCGCAGAGGGAGAATTTCCTCCAGCGCTCCACGGCCGTGCAGACAGGGGGACGCCGACATCCCGCAGCAGTGAAAAGGACGGTCACAGGGACCCCAGATCGGGCCCGCTGCGATCGTCAGGCTACCGCGGCCAGTGTGGGGAGAGGTGGCGGGACAGCGGTCGAGGTGGACTGGCTGAACCAAGTCCGCCCCCGTGCCCAGGCGTCCCCGCAGGAAAAGGCGGCCCCCCTGTGCAATTGTCGCCGCAGGGGGAGAAGTACCTCCAGCGCCCCACGGCCGTGCAACAGGGGGAACGCCGACCGAACGCCGCAGTGAAAAGGACGGCCATTGGGACCCCAGATCGAACCCGCTGCGAGCGTCAGGCTACCGCACTAAGTGTGAGACACCCTGGCAGAGCAAAAATAATGTGAGCACGACCAGGGTGGTCAAGCCTAGAGATTACGTTTATTTCGAACAGCAGCTTGAGTCTTCTTGGTCCTCTCCTGTGGCAACGCAGCAAGATTGTGTCGCCCTCGCTTCGTAATTGGGCGGCAGGGCGTCGCAAGGCCATCGGGGTGGACTCGCACTCTCGCAAATTGCCCGCGCGTAGAGCAAAACACGGTGCCATGGACCCCAGCCTGGAGCTTTTGGGCCCCATAGATCGGGGGCCCAAAAAAACACCGTCGGCTCCACAAAACGAGCGACGCCTCGACAAGGGGTTCTCAAAAGACTCGAACGCGAATTCCCTATCCGTGCGCCCATCGCACCAGGAACACTGCCAGAATGTGCGGTGAGGATTCGGAATCTGATGAAGGGAGTCATTCAGCGCACGAGTCAACTTTGGAGCTTCGCGCACGTGCCTGGGAATCCTCTTGCGTTCAACCGGGGGCCTCGGCAGCGGCGGGGCCGAGCAGCCGAGCAGCCCACAAGGGCCGCGGCGAAATGCGTTCTGACAACCGTTGCAACTTGATCGATTAATTGTGTCTGGCAGGCCTGCGCATGGGGGAGCTGGGCGGCGGCAGCGTATTCAGCGGCCAACTCGTCGGCCTGCGGGTCAGCATAGAAGTGCACGAGCGGCACCGACTTCTCAAGGGCGTCAGACAGGGACTGGCGCGACTCAACCTTGAACGCCTGCACGACAACCCCAGGGGAGTTTCTGATCACCGCGTCGATCTGCAGCCAGTCCGATACGTTGCTGGTCGGAAAATCCCCGCGCAAGATCGCCGAAAGCCCGCGGGCGACATGGGCGCTGTCAGTTAAGGAGTGCAGCTCGGCCGCAGCAGGGACACTTACTGCTGCTTCTAGAAATGTCGTGAGCGCCCGGAGCTCACATCGATTCATAGATTGCTTGAACTCCAGCGCGCCGCCCCGCGATTTCGAAAATTTCAATTCACGAAGGCATTCATGGCCCGGGTGGCCTCCGCCATGGAAGATGCGAACAGCCCATCCGACTCTTCGCAAACGCGGGTCCCCCGCCTGCGCCGCCAGCTCCCGAGGCAACTCCATCGGGAAACGAAAGTTCCGAGGGAGGGAGGTCGAGGTCAAGAGGAGAAGGTTCCTCGGGGGGGGCGGGGCCCACTTCGACCCAGCCCCCCGGCACCAAACCTCTGGGGAGCGCGTCTGACGCCCGACTGTACACCTGGCACGGCAGCTGCCGCGGCCAGACGGAGCGCGATGCGTCGGTGGGCCGGGGTGCCGCGGGCCACGTCCTCGATCTCATTGAACCTGAACCTGGCTTCCCACAATTCCTCCTCTTCCTCCTCCTCCTCCTCCTCCTCCTCCTCTTCCTCCTCCTCCTCCTCCTCGTCCTCCTCCTCCTCCTCCTCCGCCTCCTCCTCATCCTCCTCCTCCTCAACTCTCTTCTGGCTTCGCCGGATCACGTCTGACGCTGCCACGGTCGAAACCCAGGTCCACCACGCGATCTTTGCATGGAACTGCGAGCCCGATCTCCTGTCATTTCTGCTCGGGAAGCATGCCGGCCACTGCCGCAGAATGATTAGATGTCGCTGAGATGTGCAGGTCCAGCTGTTGACAGTCGCCCTTGAGAATATGCGCCACCTTGGCGATCTGGTCGGCTGCGAACTTTGGAGCAGCAATGGTGCGTGCGTTTAGGTCGTCGACCCACGACTTGACGGCGACAGGACTAGGTATGAGCCCGGCATATCCTATCCAGCGTTCGGTGCAAGATGCATCTAGATAAATCAATTGCCGATCTCAAGCCTGCAACATGGCCTTCTCTGGCTGGATGGGACAAGAAAAATACCCAGACTCCTTAAGGATCCTGGGCGCGAAACACTACTGCATCGTCAAAGCTAACGCGCGCGGCGGGCAATGTCGATCCTCAGCCGCGAAAATCAGAGCCAGCCAGTCCAGCGAGTCGCAGAAACCTTTGAGATCCCACAGAACTTCTAGGTGAACAAGATCTCCAAGAGGTGAAAGTCGCACAGCTTCATCACCGAAATTGCGAAGTAGAACTGCTCGCAGGCAAAAGGAACCAGCAATGACTCCATCCCAGTGGCCAGCAGCTCGGGCACACCATTCACGATCCAAGGGGTTCCTGATGGCACCCCGGAACCTCGCGATCAAGGAGGCCACTCCGATAGCTCGGTCATCATCTGCAGACTTGGGGAGAAGGCTGATGGATACAACCATGATTTGCCACGGCCATGAAACACACTCTCCCATTGCATGGTAGATGCCAATCAAGGACTGGAGCCCCTGATCAGGAAGCCGTCAAAGATCATGGATGCCGAGTGCCTCACATCCCTTAGCTTTCTCAGGTGGGATGCGTTGAAGAATGTTCCTAACTTGCCCAATCGCGGTGGGGCCGAGGTCGCTGCCCAGGGCTTTCTGCCTCGCGCGACCGAAAGCGCTCATCACCTTCTGCTTGCAAAATCTGTTACTGGGCCACGCCTTTTGCCAAAAGTCTCGCTTTGAGGCCGTGATCTCTACGGGCGTGGCCACGGCGCCCTGGGCCACCCGGATCTCGCCGAGGGCGGCGGGGGGGCGCCGAATGAAGTCATGGAGCTCGCCTGGGGTCGTCGAGGACATCGCAGGGATCCAGGCGTCGAAACTGCGCCGCGCGGCCGCAGCTAAAAACCTCTGAGCCCTTGCAGCATTCATTGTTCTCGATGGTGATCTCAAGCCGCTTGATCTGCGCTAAGTCACAATCGCGGATGCGATGAAGGGCCGCAACCCACGTCTTCCTGATCGATGCCGTCAGGGGCAGTGCAGCAGAGGGGGGGGGCCAGCAATCATCCCCTCAGTGCGCCTGCGACTGCCGAGGCTCCTGATGCGGTTCTCGAACGCCCTGATGAGCTCCTCAAAGTGCGCGAGCAGAATGCCCCACCACTTCGTCGCAGGATCAGCCAGAACCATGCACTGCTTCGGTGCCTTGATGGGTGCCACCCGAAATTTCCTGGCCAGAGCCCGTCCAGAGTATGATCTCACAGCATCAGAGGAAATCTCCAGGGTCTCGACGCAATAAGCTTCTAAGATGGCCACCCAATCCCCAGGCAAGTTGCCGAGGTGAAGGGCTGAGAGCTGGGAGACTTGGAGAGCCAATGCACCCTGGATGAAGTCGGCGGGTTGGTTCGGTGGCCGCCGCTCAGACCGCAGAAGGTCTCGCCAAAGCTCGTCTCGATCACGACCAGGGTGAACTTCCAGAGGCGGAGACTGCGAAGCATCTTCCTGTCGCGCCCTCGCCGCCGACCCAGAAGACCCAGTGCCTGGGGGGCCACGGGCGCCAAGGAGAGCAGATCCTCCATGCCCTTCAGCGCCAGTGTCAAGTCCTCCAGGCCCCTCAGAAGCTCGGGCGGTAGGTCTTCCAGCTCATCGCCAGACGATTCCTCCTCAAGGTCATTGAAGGTAAGCTTGGGCGGCGGCATGCCTGGGACAATCGGTTTGGCGATGAGCTCGGCCTCCGCTTTGATGGGTTTCTGTTCGGCGGTCTCATGCTTAAGCCCGGCCTTCCGTGAACGCTTGCTAGTCGGGTCAGCTTGCATATTCGGTAGAGGTTGGCGCGTGAAAGTTTGCGGCAGGGAGTAGAGTAGGGCTTGCGCCAGGGCAGCTCGCGCTCGAAAGTTTATAGTTCACCCGTAATGTGCCTTGCTTGCCACTGCACTTCGCGCAACCATCACTGAGGTGCCCGCCGTAATGGCAGAGATAAGCAGGCGGGCATGAGGAGTCGCGATGCCGTAATCCAACGACGGCCCTGAGCCGAAGGCGCAGGTATGGTTCACATCGGCGGGTACAACTGGCAGAGTCTCCACTACGAAAATGCAGAGGTTCACATCAGCGGGTACAATTGGCTGAGTCTCAACTAAAAATTGTCATCGCAATGCCTTTCGTCAATGAGCCATGTCGCCGCAGCTCCCCACGTAGAAATATGGCGAACATCGGGGTGCCACGTCTTCTCCCCTTTCGGGTAGACTGAGCCCACGAGAGGAAGAGCTGCAAGTGATAAAGACGCGAAAACCTCTGGGAAGCATCCTGGATGCCGCATACCACCGCAAGCCAGAGTGGCGAGGCCACCAGCACCAGATGACGGAGTTGCTTGTGGATAGTTAGCCTGTGTTCTTGACCGATCTTCCCGGGCCTCCTCGGGGGCTAGTGGGGGTGGGGAAATTCTCGCCAACGTTGCCGTAGAAGAAACAGTGGGGCCCGTATGTAACGGGGTGGGCCCCGTACCCCGAGAGAGACCAGTCGCCGAACGAGCCGAGGTCGCATCCGAGGGCAACCCACCGGCCCCTCGGCGGCACTGGCCAAGCCTGCGACGTCAGGAAGACGCCGTGGACTGCGCCGCCGCCGCCGCGCGCCTGGCCCGCTCCACCTCGAAGTCCAGCTGAGCGCCCTTGCCAGCAGACTTCCCCGCCTTGAGTTCAGCAGCTGCAGGTTTGGGCCTGGGGCCGTCATGTTCACCAGAGCCTTTGCCAGCGCCATCTTTGCCATCAGCTGCTTCCTGTGCTTCTGTGTCCCGAAGGTCGGCTCCGCCCCCAGCAGCAGCGCTGCCACCGTCGGCTCCCCTGCGCTCCGTGGCCAGCCTTGCCCTCGGGGTGTTGTGCCCCTCGCGCGCTGCGCCGCCTTCGCCGCGGCCTCCGCGAAGAGGTGATTGGCGCTCTTTTGCGGGCTGGTGATGAGCTTCTCGCGTCTGCCCTCGGCCTCTTTGAGCTCGGCTTCCTCCATGTCCTCGCCAGTGCCGATGTCGAAGACGCTGCCGAAGTCGATGTCGAAGCCGCCCAGCTGGCCGTCCAGCAGCGCCGCCAGCGAGACCACGGGCTTGACGGGCAGGCCGTGCTCAGCCTTCGTAGGGGCCGACCCTGCCGAACTTGCCACAGACTTCGCGATCTGATTATACTCAGCCTGCAGCTCGTCCAGCTTTTGCTTGACGGCCTCGATGTAAGACCAATGTTCTTCCAGCTCTCGTTGCCAACGACGGTACTTGTCCATTGCCCTCTCCAGCTTGCCTCCTTGCTCGTGGAGGGAGGACGGAGAACGGAGGAGGGAGTAGGGAGGAGGAGGAAAAGGAGGAAGAGGAGGAGGAGGAGGAAGAGGAGGAGGAAGAAGAGGAGGAGGAGAGAGTAGGAGGAGAGAGGAGGAGCGAGATGGAGGAGGAGGAGGAGGAGGAGGAGGAGGAGCGAGGTGGAGGAGGAGCGAGGTGGAGGAGGAGGAGGAAGAGGAGGAAGAGAAGGAGAAGGTTCGGGTTGGAATCGGTGTCTCCTGGCTCCCCCCAGGACGCAGTGATGATGCTGGCCGTGCCCTCGGTGTGCGCGGCCACCCTGCTGGAGGCCCACCTGAGCACCGAGGTCGGCGACGCACAGCCCGCCTCGGCCTGCCGCTGCCCGGCGCTCGCGGGGGTGCTCACGCCGGCGAGGGTGCGGGCCCTCGAGAGGGACGGCTTCCTGGTGCTCGAGGGGCGAGACGCGCCGCTGGGCCCAGGTTCGGTTGCAACTCGTGGGGGCCCTGCGTGTCCTCGGGGCTCCGTCTTCGGGGTGCACGGAGCGTGCGGCAGCGCCCTGTCATCAGTCGTGGAGAGGGCGCCTGTTTGGCGTCGGGCAGCGTCGATTTCGCGTCGGGCCCCGTTGTTCGGCGTCGACCAGCGTCAGTCAGCGTCGATTCGCTAGAGCGAGCAAGATGGCATGGGAGGCCGCCATGAGCTGACACCGAACCCAGGTGTTGTATCGCAGGCGCGAGGCGATGCTGTTGCAGCGATGCAGCAGGGCCGCTTCGCCAGGACCTCGAACGACAGCGACGTGCGACAGGATATGGTTTGCTGGATCCGTGAGACGGACGGTACGCCCGACGCCGTAGACGACACGCATCGTCGGGTGCGTCGCTTGGGCGACGGGTTGCTCGAGTGCGTCCGGCTGCTACGCGGTGTCGCGCAGGCGCTCGAGACCAGCGGCTACGGCACCCCACTGGGAGAATGCTTGCACGTGCCGCAGCAGCTGCAGCTGGCATGGTACCCCGCGGACGGCACCAGCAGGTACGTCAGACACCTGGACGCGTGCGTTGACTCTGCCCTCGACTTGGGCCTGCTCGAGTGGCTCCGAACGAGGGACTACAGGGAGCGCGCTGTCACCGCAATACTTTACCTTAACGCCTCCGATTGGTGCGCCGACCGCGGCGGCGCTCTTCGACTGCACCATCCAGAGTTCCAGCGGGATTCGGCGTCTCCCGATGGGCCCTCGCCAGGAGCTCATTTCGACGTCTTGCCAAGAGGGGGCACCCTGGTCTTGTTCGACTCGCGCCGAGTAGAGCACCAGGTGTTGCCGACTAACGAGGACCGTTTCGCACTGACGTTGTGGATAATCGGCAGAGCCAAACCTGAAATTGGTAGCAGATGGACTTGGTTCGCCAGCTCCGAACCGCTGCAAAAATAAGGCTCCTCGTTATGCGTCTCTGGAAATTATCCAGCTGCCTGCGGCAAACCTAACCCCGCCACCGTGCCTGTACGACAGCGCAGCAGGAAGAAAGCTGAGTGTAGGAACAGCGCCATTCCAAACAGTATTCTGCATTGGGACGGGTCGTGATCCCGACCTCGTCTTCGTCCGCGCGGTATGGAGGAGGAGGAGGAGGAGGAGGAGGAGGAGGAGGAGGAGGAGGAGGAGGAGGAGGAGCAGCAGCAGCAGCAGCAGGAGGAGGAGGAGGAGAGGGAGAAAATGAGGATGAGGAGGAGAAGGCTTATTGGGGCCTTCTCGGGCCTTCTGGGGGCATCATAAGAGCTGCCTGACAGCCTCTTGGGGGCCTCGTGGGGGCCACATGGGGCGTCTTAGGGGTGGCCTCTTGGGGCCTCTGGGGCCGTCTTAGGGGACTCATGGCCCGTCTGACGCCTATGGAGGCCGCCCTGGTGGCCTCTCTAGGCCGTATTGGTACCCTCTTGGAGCGGTTCACGGCCGTCTTGGCGCTTTCTTACGAGTCTTTTGGCCGATCGTTGAACCTTTTCGGTCGACTTGAGGTCCTCTTGGGGATTTCTTGGGCTGTCTTGGAGCTATCTTGGCGGCCTCTTGGAGGCTTCTTGGGCCGTCTTGGGCGGTCAGAAACCCGAACAGGCGAGAATAAAACATCCTTTTAAAACCTTGCGGACATCGATTGTGTTGGCCTCCTCGAGCTCTCCAGGAAGGCCTCTTGGAGCTCTCTTGGGCCGTCTTGGGATGTCTTGAGGCTGTCTTGAGCCGTCTTGGGCCATCTTGGTGTCATCTTGGTTGCCTTGGGAGCCGTCCTGGAAACCATGAGGCTCCCGGGAAGGCCTCAAGACAGATGACGGCTCGGATCAAGAGGCCCTCAAGATTGCCCAAGAGGTCTCCAAGATGGCCTCCAGGGGAGCCCGGGGAGGACAATACCATCGATGTGCCTTAGGTGTTTGATAGAGTTTGAGGTTCTGGCAAGTTTGGTTTCGGACCGCCCAAGACGGCCACAAGGGGCCTCTCTGGACCGTCGTGTTGCTCTCTGGGAGCGCGTCAAGGTCGTCTTGGGGCACTCCTGGGAGCCCCTTGGGCGCTCTGTGAGTCCTCTTGGGCCGACTTGGGGCCCTTGTGAGGGCTTCTTGGGCTGTCTTGGAGCTATCTTGGAGGCCTCTTGGAGGCCTCTTGGAGGCTTCTTGGGCCGTCTTGGGCCGTCGGGAACCCGAACAATAAGAGGAGGAGGAGGAGGAAGACGGAACAGGAGGGAGGAGGAGGGGGAGGAGGAGGAGAATGTGGAGGAAGACAGAGCAGGATGGGGGGAGAGAGCGACGGAGAGAGAATGAGGACAGCCGACGAACGAGACAGAGAGAGTGGGAGAGATGGAGAGTTGGAAGAGGAGGAAAGCGAAGTGGAATGGAGTTGGTTTGGGTAGTTTACGCCGCCCGTCATTTTGCAGCGGGCCCCCCTTGACCCCTGTGCCCAAGTTTGGCCACCACGTCCTCAAATTGCATTGTGAAATCTACTGGCGAAAACTGTGGCACGCCAATTTCAGATCGCCTTGCGACAACGCGTAGGTCTATGCAAATTCATAGTACAATGTCAGTGATTCATATGTTGTAGTATTTTCCAGATGCCCACCCAGAGCAACCTTTCCCGGTATCAGCCGTGCACGGATGTTCGGGCAATTCGCGTTCAATCCAGATGTGTATGAACCTCAGCTTAGGTGGGCTTTTTTATATGCCCTATGAGCAGCGATGGAAAGAGTTCAAGCACTTCCCTCCCACCTGCCATACTGTTCAGCACCCAAGCATTGGAGAGACCCCAGCCCACGGGTAATACCCCCCCTGTAGTTGGCATTGTTTTCTGCACCGGCTAATGCAAGCAAGCGTCTTCTGCGTTACTCGCGCGTGGGAGTGGAGCTCCCTTCTCTGATTTGAGCCATATTGCCGTCACATCGCGGCAAGGGCACTTGCCCCTCCCGCTACATTCAAACAGTGTGTAACCACGGCGTAAATCACCAGGTGGCACCAGGAGATTGGTGTGGTTGAATACAAGTTCGAGACAAACATTGCAGTCTAGTACTTATACGACCACCCTTCGGGTGGTAAGGAGGTTGTGGGGGGGGAGAGGGGGTGGAACCAAGGTCTGACTCAATCGATCTCACTATCGATCGCACTCATCGGGGGACACCACGGGGCACCACGGGACATTTGTCGATCTCACTATCGATCTTACGATCGATCTCACTCAACGTGACACCACGGGACACCTCTCGATCTCACTATCGGTCTCATTATCGATCTCACTATCGATCTCACGATCGATCTCACCCAACGGGACACCACGGGACACCTGTCGATTTCACCATCGATCTTATTATCGATCTCTTTGTTTTGGGACACCACGGGACACCTCGGGGCACCACATCGATCTCACGATCGATTTCAGTACCGATCTCATTCAACGGGACACCACGGAACACCACGGGACAGCTGTCGATCTCATTACCGTTATCAATCTCACTCAACGGGACACCTCGGGGCACCACATCGATCTCACGATCGATCTCATTCAACGGGACACCACGGGACACCACGGGACGCTTGTCGATCTCACCATCGATCTTACTATCGATCTCATTCAACGGGACACCACGGGACACCGCAGGCATCTCACGATCGATCTCACTCAACGGGGGACACCACGGGACACCACGGGACATTTGTCGATCTCACTATCGATCTTATCATCGATCTCACTCAACGTGACACCACGGGACACCTCTCGATCTCACTATCGGTCTCATTATCGATCTCATTATCGATCTCACCCAACGGGACACCACGGGACACCTGTCGATTTCACCATCGATCTTATTATCGATCTCTTTGTTTTGGGACACCACGGGACACCTCGGGGCACCACATCGATCTCACGATCGATTTCAGTACCGATCTCATTCAACGGGACACCACAGAACACCACGGGACAGCTGTCGATCTCATTACCGTTATCAATCTCACTCAACGGGACACCTCGGGACACCTCGGGGCACCACATCGATCTCACTATCGATCTCATTCAACGGGACACCACGGGACACCACGGGACGCTTGTCGATCTCACTATCGATCTTACTATCGATCTCATTCAACGGGACACCACGGGACACCGCGGGCATCTCACGATCGATCTCACTCAACGGGGGACACCACGGGACACCTGATCTCACTATCGATCTCTTTGTTTTGGGACGCCACGGGACACCGCGGGGCACCACATCGATCTCAGTATCGATCTCACTTAACGGGACACCACGGGACACCACGGGACGCTTGTCGATCTCATACGGACGGACGGGCGGGCGGGGGAGAATCATTTGTCTTGAGTTCGCCCCAACAACGGCGGACACCACGGGACACCGCGAGCCGCCGCCTGGCGGGCGGGCGGGAGGGGGAGAATCATGTGTCTTGACTTCGCCCTAGCAACGGCGGGTTCATTCCTCCCGCGCGCCCACGCAGCTTCGCCTCGTCCGCACGCACGACACGAACGAAACGAAACGATGTATCGGTTGGGGGTCTCCGTTCCACTGCGATCTCACCCCCCGACCTCCGATGATAACCCTCGCCCATGGTTTTCACAACGACATATTTCCGATGTTGCAATAAGTGACGTATGACTCGCGCACGCGTTGGACCCTACAAGTGAGACGAGCAGCGCATCTCTATGGGTATCCAGGCTGTCATGCGCAATTATGTGCTACTCGACATGTTATGACGTATTATTGTACACATTATCCCCGTACATTGGGAAATGCATCGAGGAAGCGTCCATTCCGGGACCAATTAAGGATGAATCCATGGCAGCATTGCGAACTCGAAGGGTTTACTTCAAGGGGAACGGATAACGTAATTGCCACACCGACCACGACATCCTGAGTTTATAATGTTTTGCAGTGCTGGCGCCAGCTACCACCGACCACGGTCCTAATGCCAAATCTTTTTTACCATCCCATCCTATCCTTGCGTCGGTTGCTCCTACAGCTGCTGCTATATCCCCGCCCCCGCGTGTCGCCCGACTTTGGGGGTGAGATCCGTGCCCTTCTGCATTTGTTTTTCAACCTTGTACTAGCGATATTTTCCCGGGGAGAAGCTACTCCAGCCCCTCGGTTACTCGGGTTCCCCCCGGGATCGCCACATCCCCAGCCGAAACCCCCCACGCGGCGGCAGCTCCGCCGGGAGGTTTGTTGCAGCCGGGTCATCACCTCCAGGATATCCAGGGCTTGACGCCAACGACGGGCACCGGATGAACGATTTGGATGGCGACATGATTGCGCCTACCGGCAACATTCATCGACGAATGTACGGTAGTCAGGCCAACCAAGCAAAGCACTAGGACGAATTTTCCGCGGAGTTGTGTATATTTTCGTTGAAAACGAAGATGGCCAACGTGAAATTGATTTGTGAATTAGGACTGTAGCGTAGGATGATGAATTCTTTGCGCGTTGCGTATCACCACCAGCCCATCCAGAAATATATCGCCAGGCGAGTTGCTCTGATCAAGGAAGTGTAGAAGCATGCGGAACACGAGAAATAACAAAATCGAGAGGCCATGGAAGGGACGACGCCGTGTGGGGAGAGGATAACAGTCGGAAGAGTGGAAAGCGCAAGAAACGAACCAGGGGCGGCGTGTTGAAGTGGGGCGACGCGGCAGTGCAGAAGGCGCTGGCGGTGGCCGCGGCGTCAAGATCCGCAGAAGGAAGCGGCGCGGCTGAAGCGGAGGGTGTCCCAAGGCTGGTCGTGGGGAAAAAAGCGACGGCGTCCAGCGCGCGAAAGTGGAGAAACGGGCTTGCAGAGGGCGGGTTGAACGCAGGTCAGCGTAGTGTCGTTGAGAAGGTGGCAGATCGGGTGCTGGCGCATGAGTTCGCGGATTCCGCGATCGGCAAGAGGGCAGGCAAATGTCGCTCTGATATGGAACCTCTCATGTGGGCGTTACGTGGTGGCCCAGAGACCGGGGGGAGTTTTGTCATCGACCAAATCCAGCGAGAATTGTTCGAGGAACGGATG